GTTTATTAGTTTGATCATCCCTCAAAGGAGTTTAACACTAGGATTGATAACTGGCTCAGCACACTGATTTATCAGTCTACTCAGGCTTTAGCAGTAACTTTAGTGTTTGCAAATAAGCTGTTAACTGAGCTTCTCTTTAGAATTCATCTAATGAGCATGTTTGCTACACACCATGTGCTGATTTTCAAATATTTAATAAACTACCATTGATGGTGTTTCTTTTGAAGATTTAGTTTTATTTAATGGGTGAGTATTCTAAAAGTAACTGTCTGGTTGTTAAGGTCCACTGCAAACTGTGATAAAGGCAGTCTTGTAAATGAATTGCTCTTAATACTGTATGAGACGGTGCTGGTAAAATTTTGGCCATATTATGCACCATGTCATTTAGATCCACATGTACTGTGTAATCATTACTCAGAAATTCTCTGGGCCAGAAAAAAAATTGGCATCTCCCAGGGATTTAAATCTCTGACATCAGAATGATTCAGTTCAACAAACTACTCAATTCGATGTATCATGAAACCTCAAATTACACCAAGAATTAATTTTTAAAAATACACAAAGTACACACATTTCACACTAATGGAATACAGACAATAAAACCAATACAACCTTTTTTTGTTTTTTATTATTATAATTTCTGCATTTGAAAACAGCTCAAATGTTTGCTTTATTGAATATTAATATGATCAATCAGAACAGATTGCACCATTTCAAGTCTTTTAGGCTGATGCATCATAATGTATCAATACATTTTTACACCCCCAGTATCCTCCACTACAAAACATCTCCATTTCTTCATGGTGCATGGTCAAACTGAACTGTCACAAAGTCAAGCAAGTTTCATTTTAAAGTGAATTGTCCATCACAACCTCCATACAAAGCATACAAAAAATTATGCACTACAATATAATGCACAGATTGTATTATAACACCACTCAAGCTCTGAGCAGGTCCCTTCCTACATGCAATGTGGGGATATTTCTTTTTCTTTTCTGGAAGTAAGTCATCAAAAGTCTTGTAGAGTGGTTGTAAAAACCACTACCAGAATCTCCCCAGCTTTGTCTGCTGGGATACGTGTCTCTTTTACTACCAGGTATATCTAAACAATTGGAACGCTGGCAGGATTCTTCTACAGAGTTAAAGTTAGTGACAGACACAGTCTTATTTGAAGCTGATGTAATACTTATGAGGAGAAATTGCATTGTGTAATCAAAATGTGAACTTATTAACTTTTATTTTTTCAAACATGTGCCTGACTTGTGTTAAAGCTAAACTAAGTAAATTTTGGGGATTTGGAGACCTCTCTGATGGAAATGTGTAATTGCACACAAAATGCAGAAGAATATAATGTAATGTTTGGGACCCCTTCCCTAAACGGATGAATCTGATGATTGTGAGTGTTCAAAGAGTATTCAAAAAGAACTCAGTCTTCTGGGGATGTCTGCAAATTATCTACCACTTTGTATAATGCTGATTTTGCATTTGGGACCTAAACATTGAGGCAGACCTTGTTTTTGGAGCTTGCACGTGTCATGTTAATAAGAAAAGACGTATGATTGTGGTCCAAAAAACTCTTGTGAAATCTGACAGGATGCTTTAAATGATTATTTCAGGCTTCACAGGGAGACTCGCAGCAGCACACATACACCATGTTTTAGCATGATTTTTTCTACTGATTCAGTAATGTGGCTTCTTTGTATTTTAACAAACCAACAAAACTCAAATAGTGCAGCTTTAAAATGTGTTATATGATCTGTTTATATATTGTAATCTATTCAGCTCATTCAAAACGATAAAAATTTGGATTACAAAGCCCACATTCTCCACTTTAATTCCCCACCATTATAACACGATTCGCAGAAATGTACATGCCAGGATGCTGTCACTCCACATCATCACATCTCTCAGCCAAAATTGCAAGGCTAGGGCCGCATAGGCTATTTGTGAAGTAATAAATAATTGTGCAGTGCTATCTAAGGCCAGCTCTAAATGGCTGTTCAGACAGCTTTAAAGGAGCCTCTCCAGAAATGGCCAATTCGTCTCCTTCACGTTGACATGGCAAGATCTGCACTCAAACTGCTTGGCCTCTCCAGTGCTGGCCCAAACCAGGCTGCCCTGGCTCGAAACTGATAACGAAGCCTTTACAAGCCCAACGAAATCAATCAAGCTCTCACCCAAATCGCTCAGGCCTGGACTTATAGGTGCCCTGCTTTATTTCAATGGAAAACATACAAAAAAATTTGGTCATCTTTTACCACTCATGCGATTTTTAACTGTAATGGATCTTCATCATTAGTCATATAGTTCATAATTCAATAAAAGCTGTTGTCTTGGATTTGCAGACAGTTGGTTTAAGTCCAAAAAGCCTTTTAGCAACAGTGATTAAAAGCTTAATATGATTTCCAAGGATTTCGGTCATTCGTTTGTCAGTAAGGCTTAAAGCGTAGTCATCGTTTATGAAAATGCTACAGGAATATTAATAACGCCAAACCTCAGGCTGCACTGTGGTGCATGAACAGACCAGTAAAATTCAAATGCCGGCACGGGGTGGATGCCTTGGTTGCAAATTACTTTCAGTGTCCATGGGCTGTTCATTTGCCTAATCAAATGAGCTTTTTGTGCTCCTCTGGAGATTCCACAACCTCGCATGAGTCAGTGGGAGAGAACGAGGTCCAAAGAGGAGGAAAAGAGTAACGACATGACAGCGTTTCTGGGAAGCCCATTAGCCGAGTAAATAAGGGATTCTCACACATGTACACAGAGGGTGTGTCCTGGCTCAGCTGTCCTTCAGTATGGAACACAACTGTCATGGCTGAACAGTGCATGCAGTGTTCCTGAAAAAGCCCAGCTCAGCAGAGCACGTCTCCCACTGTGCCTGTGTACTACGGCCCCCAATACAGCTGAAACAAACAGCGCTGTCACAACATCACAAGGCTAACACAGCAGCCAAGCACAAGCCAGTATAAAGGAGGACTGTCCAAGATTTTACATGTTGATCAAAATTCGACTAATCACCCTCACAATTACTGACTAGTCACAAATAACTAGGGACGCAGGATGATATCAGACTCATATTTATATCAGCAGATATTTTTAAAAAATTCTGAGGGAATCTGAGAGATGTTTAGATTTGACTAATGTTTCAAATTCATATTTGCTGATATATTTATCATACTCTGGAAGAGCAGAACATTTAGGTGATGTTGGGCTACTGCGCTGAAATGTCTGCATTTTATTCTTTGTTCTACATTCGTAATCCTCTACAAATAAGTGTTACATTTCTCAGCAATGCTATAATAGATGGATCTAATCTCGATTTCTGCAGAGATGGCCATCAGCCCAAAATTCCTATATTGGAGCATCCCAACCAAAATATACTTAAGTGGAAGTGAAAAAGTAACATTTAAACATAAAAAGTTTTAACAGATAATTTTTTTAATTTGTTTGGTGGTGTGGTGCCTGATGGGCAGTACTGGTCCCTGCACGAAGGTAAACTAGCACAGTTGTTCCAGTTTGACTTAGCAGTGGGATGGACTGTTATACCAGCTGAAGTTCATCCTACGGTATGAGTTCTGTCAGTTATACTGGTATGCCACAAATATGCTCAGATAACATGTCATACAATCAGTGTAAACCACTCTGATGTTAGCCTCTTTAGCTGAGTTTGAAATAAACATGTAAACGCAGCAGATCTTTGATTACCTCTCGCTATAGGGTGGGCAGTATAACAGTGGTGAGGTATACAGTAGTATTGAAAAATGATGATGGTATTTAAAATTATGAGATGTCAAATTTCTATTCCATGTGTGAAAGGCTAAATAAAGACATTCCTCCCATTTATAACCAAAAGGGGCTCACTGGATGGTGGTGTGGGAGCATCAAAACCAGGAAAAACCTCAGAAAGACTAAGCGTGACAGAGGCTCATCGACAGCTAGTTAAGAGCAACACACAACAGTATAATATGTTACATTTTGGCTATAACAGGCAAAAATTGGACGATAAGCAACACAAAAAGGTGAAATATTCCAACATATTTTTCCGTATGAAAACTGCCCACAACGGACACAATGCGTTATTTTGGAATTTTGTCATATTGTTCGTACCTTGAAAAAAATGGACAGAACACCTATCAAAAAGAGAGTCTTCTGATAGTAGAGAGGAAGAATGAAAGGAGAATGGAGAGTTTCTCCACCTTATCCAGGAGCTAAAACTTTGCACACAGCTACACACAACTCAGTCTGAGCTGCTTTTGGAGCTGCAGCTCCACACAAGACGAAGCACAAAACAAGCAGGCTGAATGTTGTAAAGAGCAAATAAGATTTTCAAATCCCAAAGATCTGCAAGCTAATGATGTCCAGCAATTTGTTGATCGTGGTCCTGCTTAACAGCAAACAAAAAGAAAGTTATGTTGTATGTCCAGTTTGCTGTTCTGTCCTGTGTTACACTGTGACACTTAGCCCCAGTACACAGCAATACACACACTGGCCAGCACTGACTGCTCATTCCAGGACACCTCTGCCTGTCCCTATATTTTATTACCGCCCTACAAACAGCTCACAAATGTCATAGTGGGTATGACGTAAATAAATACAGGCTTCAGTACTCAAACATAATTAGAAGCTTGTCATCACAATAGGGCTTCAAGCCTCGACTGTGAGTGAGCAGAGAGCCAGAGCGCTTGTGCAGTCTCTTCCTCTCCACACTCCACTCATCATACGAAGAACAGATGGAGACAGATGCAAACTCAGCTCCATAAACCAGGATCACGTGTGTCATTTCACTCAACACACACCACTACCCCCAAAACCCACCCCACTTACACACCTGTCGGCAGAAAGTCATTATTCCCCAAACAAACCACATTATGCCACACTATACCACATCCACGGCATTTCTATCACTGTGGGCACATAATGTAGCCAGACGAGAATCATCAGCACTCCTGAGAGTTGGAGTGAGAGAGGAGTGTTAACAGAGGAGAATGGTGACCACTCACCTAGACCAGAGGTGTAAATGGCCTTGACTGACTTCTTCATTTTGTACAGTACACTGCGGTCCACATCCAGGGCCTAGAGAAAAAGAGAGAGAGATACATATAGTTTAGTAATAGGAATAAGGGCTGCACAATATAGAACGGAGTGTTATGGGGAAAAAAAAAAAGGCAAGATGGCTGCACAAGCGACCAAAGAAACCCACAAATGAGAGTATTTTCTCCGTTAAAAATCACGATAATTAGTGATGTCGTTTCAATGTATTATGGTCTTTTTCATCATAACAAGCACATAAAGTCACTAGTAGTGTGCTGATGTCTTGGTAGCTAGATAACTAACTGTCCCGTTCCACCTTAAGTGGTTACATTCTGGCGCTTCAGGTGTCAGAACTGCTGCACCATTTAAGGTGGAATGGGAAAATTCAAACAAGAAGCTGGTGAATAGCTGAATCTTCAGCTTCATATCACCAAATTAAGGGTGGGCAATAATAAACAATTGTCGCATCCCCCCTCTTTGAAGGGATATGATTCCCTAAACTTAACTAAAGCCCAGCAGTGAGGTTGCTGAACTTTACCCTCCTCCGCTATCACTGTAGACTGGCAGGGTCGCCTACAGAGCACCGCTAGTAGCCTGTTAATGAAGTAATGTCCTTTTTGATTTGAGGGCTGTCCTATTTTGTAGGGAAGATTTCAACCACTTCCCCTTGAAACTCAGTTCCAAGGGCCAAGGTGACACTTAAAAAACAAGGGGTTGGGGTAAGAATACAAAATGGGATTGGGCCTTACTGTAGCATATTACTGTCATTAGGTGGCATATAACTGTATATTCAGGATCAACAGGCCTAGTTCTCAATGTCAATCATCCGTCTATGTCTCTGTCTCTCTCCATATGTCTATGTCTCTCTTTATGTCTCTGTCTCTCTCTCTATGTCTATGTCTCTCTATGTCCATCTCTCTCTCTCTCTATGCCTATGTCTCTCTTTATGTCTCTCTCTCTCTCTGTGTTTCTTTGTCTCTCTGTCTCTCTCTCTCTCTAAGCATTTAGGGATCATATCTAGCACAGTGATGGCATGTTGGCAGGTATGTGTGTGTGTGAGATGGTGGGGTTGTTTCCCCCCACTGTCTCCAGGTAATTCATTATTCAACACAGTCCTAAAAATATGCTGAAACAATCCCTACTCCACAGGAGAGAGGAAGCAGGCAGACCTGCTCAGATTAACTCTCTCTGCAGAGAAAACGCCAGGAGCCCTGCAGAGCGAGCATGCTCTCACACACTGAGCACAAAACACTGCTCGATACTTTTAATTCAATGTATCAAAATAGCATCAGGAAAACTGCACAAAAGAAAAAGTACAGAAAAATTTCATGCCACAACACTGCTGTTTACTGTTGCTGTTTACTTTTACATTAATGTTTTTAGCTATGTGGTGTACTTCTGTCTATATTTTATTCATAACTTTGTCATACTGGGTCACAAACATCAGGAGCAAGTCTATTTGAGGCAACTTTCAATGTGTTTTGGGTGATTTCATGACTGCAGTGAGTGGAGTCAATTAGCTCTTGTAACTCTTAAAAATGAAATGTTTCTTTTTTAGAATTCTTCCATACTGAATCAAAGAACACGTATTTTACCATTCAACAATGTATGAACCCATGTCAGGAACAATACCTCATTTTTTACAAGGTTTCTTTGCGGCTTAAATGAGCAACAGGCATGAGTTTTTTTAGAATAGCATTAGCAAATATGCAAAAAGTGGCTAACTAGCATTCATGCTAATGGCATGAAAACCTTGACACTCTAATTTACCTAAATCATATTTCAATTAATAATTTAATTTCAATCTATAATTTGATTAACAGGTTTGAATTTTCACAGCGACCTTACCAGTCAATATCACAATCTCATTAAAAATAAAGAAAAAAACAATTTACTGTTTATCTTCAGGAAGTTCGGATAATGCAACTTCCTGTTAGCATTTTAGAAGGGTGAATGTGTTCAGGTAACAGGGTTGAGTATCACAACGGCAATGTGTTTTTTTATAACCTATAATGGAATATTCATCAAACGGTAAAGTGTAGTTTTAGTGGTCTCGGACAGCTGAAAATATTGTTTTCTAAGTGCTGTAAATTACTTTTATTAATGTTTTAAGACATTTATCTGAAATACACATGTATGTTATGGTAAAAGACACGTCATTTATCTTTCACTTTACATACAAATGACTCCCCAGTTGTGGATTTTTTCCCACAGGTTTTTGATGATTTCAGTGTGTAGTCTGCATGATGCTAACTGGTTGTCATACACTTCCATTCACTGTTAGCTTAGCCTTGTAGCTCCAAAACAAAAAAAAAGAAGGTTTCAATCACGAAGGCTATCGCGACAACTTCACAACTAGGTCCAAACAGCAATATATTGTCCTTGCATTGTCCATACAGCTCAGTAAGTAAGAGAAAAACAAGTTTCAGTTTAGCCTAGCATCACTGAGCTACTGTTTTTCTTTTTTTTCTAGCTTTTAGCACCATTTTGAAGGACAGCTCTCAGACACTATTCTATCCAAGGCTAATTCCCTGCTAGTTCTGTCCAAATGCCAATCTCCACCTACTTATCCTTCTACAAAACCCTCAGCGTCCTAGACCGCACCACACACGCTGCTCTTCATTCCTCCAAACACTCCGCTCTCACATTAGCTCCCACACCTGCCACCAAACCAGACAACCCAAATCCAGCTTTTATTGCAAAGGCTTCATAATATTTCTTCCCCAAACATGTCATCCGGCGGCTTAGCGTCCGAGACGCGGCTGTGCTTTATTTTACTCAGCGTTGCGTTTCAGTAGAGTAGACAAGAATGGACAATGCTCTCCTTCACGCTCAGTGGCGAGGCAGGGGCTAATCTAAAGAGGCTAGCACAGCACAAAAAGGGCTTTCTGAGAAAACAACGGGGCTATAAATAACAGGTCAGAGATGAGAGGAAAGATTTCACATATAAATTTCTCACAGAACCAAGAATGGAACTCACTTTGTGGTCATTCTTGTTTGCATTTTGAGTGGCCATGAAAGAGAAACATCAGGGATTTAGATATTCAGTCTTGCTTAACATTCATAAGCTCAAATAACATGCTACGAGAGAAGAGAGTGAAAGCAGAGACTGACCCAAACTTGACCCTGAATAAAACCAAGGCTGTGTGACCCTGGCCAGTAGGCTTGAATGACCTCAGAAGTGTATTTAGTCTTTCTGTACCAAACATCCTTGTTTTAATGCTTTTATACCTTGTCAGGAAGCGGGGCCATAAACAGCGCAGTCCAATCTGCCATTAAGTACAAGTTATTCATATTTCAGGAGATATTTCTAAGAAAATTAGATGTAAGACAATCCACTTGCACAAGGAAGAGGAGAGCCAAAGGAAAATATATGGGAAAAAAACATGAGTTTACAAAACTAGAATTCAAAAAATTATTTAAAGTTAGAGAAATTGAGACTCCTAACAACCAAAGAAGACCTGGTAGACCACCAAAACTGTAAACATCAGATAAACAATAGCTTTCTTCTTTGAGAGAGAGGAGAAAATCAAGCACAAAAATCAACACATTTTACTGTCCATCCTTCTACTGTGAGAAGACAACACTATGAGTCTGAAATGATGAGACGCTGTCAAGAAGCTCTTACTGAGAAAAGGAAACAGACAAAAAAGAAGAAAAATTTGCAAATCAAACAAAGAAGCTGCCGTTGTTCTCAGAACAATGGACTGACCACCCCAGAGTCCAGACCTCAACATCACTGAATGTGTCTGAGATTACTTGTATTGTGAGAAGCAGAAAATACAACCAACTTCTAAGACTGAACTTGTGGAAAAATATCCCTGCAGATTTCTTTGAAAAACTGAACGCAAGTCTCTTGAATAGAATGGAAGCTGTAATAAAGGCAAAGTGTGGCCACACTAAATATTGAAAAATCACTATATTTATATATATATTTTCTACTTTTTTTCATGATGCTGAAAAATTAGTAACTTTTACTTAATGGCTGTTTTGACTGGAATTGAAAAATAAATGGTGGTCTCTGACTTTTGTACAGTACACCATTCAAAGCACATATATGACTCACATTGTATGAATATTTCAAGATGAATGGTCCAACATTGACACACAAAGTTAAGAAACCTTTTTTTTTATTATTCTCCTTAAGCTTACTCCTAAAGCCAACCCTAACCATAGCCTCAGTAAAAAGAAACTATTTTAGCCTTTCAGTTAAAAAAAAACAACAAAATATGAAGCTTTTGTAATAATAAATAAATAAATAAATAAATAAATAAGCAACCATTTTGCTGATCCTGTAAAAGTAGGTTGCGCCTGTTTTTCTCTGGTTTTCCTACAAAGGCAGATATTTTTGTCTTGCAAACATTCGAAACGCACACAGTTTCAAAAGTCAAGCCAAGAGAACGATGAGAAGAGAAAACTTCCCGTACAAAACAAAGCAGCTAATTAAAATTACAGCAGAATTATGCATGAAACTAGGCTCTCGCAATAAACAAGGGGGGAAAGATCTGCTATGGCAACCCCATCTTCAGAACTAAGCAACAGAACAAAGCTCCATCCTCTCACTTACAGGCTCGGGGGCTTTATAGCTCATAGATCTTACAGCATAATGTATAATCACATTCAATGTAAGTGCCAGAGAAAGCTATAATAGACTGATTATTGGACCCGTCTCTTTGTAATCTGAAACTGTATCCAGAAGCGCCCATTTAGTTTCACCTTACACCTCAGTGCTCTGCACATTTATCCCTCTTTTTCATCGCTTAGCTAAGTTAGACACTTAGCCCCAGACATGCTAAAAGCTTCATCAACACGTCTGAGATGACTGATGAGAAGCTTCTCCAGCAGGACTACCAGCTCCACATCCTAAAGCTGTCTCATCTCAAACAGCACCTAAAATTGGCACACAGGGCTCCAACCGCACGCTAAGAACTCACAGAAGGAAATTCTGTGAATGCCAAAATGCAATTATACCTCTGTGCTAGTGCACAAAGGGGAAAGAGTATATACACCACACACCACAGATGTGGAATGGAGGGGTCATG